GCGAGGTTTTGGAGCAGCCCTTGACAAAAGCGAAGGTTCGACACCTTCGGTGGTCCCAGGCGCCGCCCCTGCCTTCGCCAGAGCAGGGGTCGGCGGATATAGAGGGGTGAAGGCCAAAGGGGGTGAGGTTGTCATTCGGAAACCCAAGGAAAAAATAATAATTGAAGAGGCACTCACAAAGGGGTCGTGCCCGAAGGATCTCACCAAGGGGCCTCACTAAAAAGTCTTGTGACACAAGCTGCCTCCACCCACACAAGATCCCTTCTTCCACAGAAGGGAACGGGTCTCACACCTCGTTTGCTTCAAATTGCAAAAATTCATGGGGCAAGGCACCACAAAGGGGAAAGTCTTTTGGCAAAGCTTCAGAAATTTCCGTGGCAAAGCCCTTTGTCAAGGGAAAGCAAGAACCCTGAGAACTTGTGGGAACTTTTTATACTTAAGGATTCACCCATAACCCTTCTTTGCGAGGCCCCTTATTTCCTGCGAGACCCCTTCGCGAGATTTTTCGTGAATCTTTTGGCGAGACCCTTCCATGACACCCTGTGCACGACCCCTTTGTGAGCATTTGTGAGACACCCTTTGCCAGACACTTTTCTCGAGAATCTTCACAAGACACCAGATGAGACCCATTCGCCGCCAACTTTCAGAACCGATCTGTTTGCCTTCCTGGGCTGACTGCGTCTTTTGCGAGATCCTTTGCGAAACCCCATCATGAGACCCCGTTTGCCGTGACAACGCTTTGCCAGATCTTTCTCTAGACCCTTTGCAAGACCCCCTTCACGGGACCCGTTCGAAAGGATCTTGGTGAGACTCTTTTGCGAGAATTCCTTGATGAACCGACCACTTTGACTTCTCGCACTTTTTCTTTTGGCGAGACCCTTTGTGAGACCCCTGTGTAAGACATCCTTTATCAACCCCTTCTTTTGCGGGCTCTTGTTTTCTTTTGCAAGACTCCTTCCTGAGACACCTCCGCAAGACCCCTTCATAGACAAGTCATCCCCAGTATCATTTTTGAGTGGATTTTTTTTACGGAACTGGATGGAACTGAAAACTTGCAGGTTTTTTCTAGGCTCGTCTTGAATTCTCCTGTGTGTGTGTGTTTTTTGTCGCAACCCCTTTACCCTTTACCTCCTCTACTTTATAATCTTTATAGTCGCATGTCGCACGAGACTTCTTCCAGAATTCATGTGTCAAGTTTCCAAAACCAGCATGTTGCACGTGACATCCTAAACTGAGAACTCTCCAAACTCTCCAAATGCGTTTCGCGCCAAACTCCCTCCAAAAGTAAAGCCGGAAGTCTCATCAGCTCGTCAGCAGTTTCGCAAACACCCACAAAGTACTGCGCCTGCCACGACGAGTAACTATGCCACACCGTGATTTGGTTGCAAAGTTTGCACCATGCCACACTTTTGGAATGACTTCGAAACATTGTTGCTTCACCCTGATCCCTCAAAGTTACAATTTTGCTTCAGATATGTCACGAAAAGACAGCTTCGAGGCAAGCGCTGCAAGAGAAAACTCAAATGGCGCAGCAAAAAACTAAATAATTACCTCTCCAAAAGACAACCCTGAGAATGCCAATCCCGGTAAGTCTCCGGGTGATGCAAAGTGCTGACCTCATGAACACTGCACCTACGCAACAAAATCATCCTTCACTCTTGGGCACGTTGCATTTCTCCACTCTTTCAAGCGAATCTGACACTTCATGCGTCCTTCCAAGACCTCCTCCAAGAGCTTTCCCAAACGGGAGGACTTTTGGTTCACACTGCCACCATGCGGACGATTGCACAGCACAATGGCTCTACCCCAGACCCCCAGAGTTAAATGAGAACCCTTTGCTACGCTGCCGTGAATTCGGGAAGACTCTTTGTAGGGGAATGAAAAGGCTGGTCTTCCGATAGTTGTATGTCTTCAATCCCTTTTATATGTAACATTACTAAATCCATTATTATACCTTATTGTAATTGCAAACCCCCAAATAATGTGTCCGCGTTAGGGGTTCTTACGGTAGCTGATTCACCGCTATTTACAGTACATTCATTCACCTGGAGATCTTCGATGTGCACTTCGAGTGCGCAGGCTCGCGGAATCTTGTGGGCTGGCACGGGTGCTCTTGGGGACTGTGCTCTCGTTGTGGTGCCGTGCACATCTTCGGACTTGGTGATCACTTTTCGTGACAGGCCCAAGGGAAACCTCGTGTCTAAAGTCGGCTTTTTCTGACAGGTGCAGGAGATCGGAGCAGCACGATGTCAATGTACAGGTTTTGTGGCAGGCACAGTACTTTGGACATCATAATCTTCGGCATGCTCTGACTTCGTGGCAGGCGCACTGAATCGTGACTTTTGGGCATGTGCCTCATATTCCGAAACCGGAGGAAGCCTCGAGCGAAGGCTGTGTTTTGGCATCTTTGTGGACCTTGAGTGTAGATTTCGTGGCAGGCACAGCACTTTGTGGGTCTTGATTTCGTGGCAGGCACAGCGCTTTGTGGACCTTGAGTGCAGATTTTGTGGCAGGCGCAGGCACTTTGTGGACCTTGACGCGTGGATTTCGTGACAGGCGCAGTACTTTGTGAACCTTGAAGTAGGCTTCATGCCAGGCAGCACTTTGTGGACCTGCAGATTTCGTAGCAGTCGCAGTACTTTGCCAGATTTCGTGGCAGGCGCAGTGCTTTGTCCACCATCACCACCGCCACCATCAACATCAACATCAACATCATCATCGCCACCATCACTACCACCATCACCATCACCAAAATCACCACACCATCACCACAACCATTGACCATCACCACCACCACCATGACCATCATCACCACCAACATCATCATCACACCATCACCATCACCTCTCTCCGCAATCCATTGTGCAGGATCTCTAAACCTTCTGCTTCCACACCTCTAGACTTTAGACCTTTAGACACACTGTTTGGGGTCTTTTGCCGAGAAAATATTTTGTGTAGTTTACTATACTGTATGTGAATTATATAGCAGCTGGCTAAACCTAAGCCGAATCCGAAACGCAGACCACAGCTTGCACTGAATGATATGGCACTGTTCATTTGAGGTGTGTTGATTTGGTCGAGTTTTGCATGCATGTCCACATTGGATTTGGTTTCAAGAGTACCTTTCAGGCTGGGCCCAACAAAACAGAGCGTGCCACTGAGTTACGTTTTGCTGTTGGAGTTGTCTCCGGCATGTCTTGTTGCCCACAGTTTCAGCCTTGCACCTTCAAGGTTGGGTAGATGTTCCGCAGGATGCCTAAACAAGAACAATTCAATGTCTCCAAATGTGATAGCATGTCCACGAACAATGTGTCTGTTGTGTTGTGTTGTGTTTTTGGGCTGGCAAGTTGAAATGAATATAGCCATGGGCAGCATCGGCTATGGTATGGTATAAACCAAAGGCTATGACACCCTTGGCTAAGGAGAATCAACTGCCGTAGAGCGCTGCAAGACAAAGGCCTGAAGCCAATGTAGAAAGAAAACAGTGCTAGGGTTGTCGTAGCTGGCCTCTCTTCCAATCAGTCTGAAGAGGGGTGTACAAATCTGCAAGGATGAGTGATGTGATGCGGTTCTCGTTGTAATGAGAAAGTTCAACTCCACGAACTGAACCGCGTCGTAGTATTGTCGTATCGATATAGTTGGTTTTGTAGTTGGTTTCAGTTTTGTGTTTGAGCTGTTCATGTTCAGTTGATGTAAGGTTTGATGACATACAGCACAGAGCCTCTGGCGCAGCACTTGTCACACCTCTCAGCTGCCTGGTTGGCGAATGTCGGTGAAGAAGAAGAGATCACTTGGGTGTTGGTCACTTATTTGATCGGGCCCATTTGGCTAGCGGCTAGCAGCAGTCAATCTGGTCTTTGTTTGGACATTCATGTGTACCCAGACTCATATTTACATGATCGAATGCACGGTGTCTCACAGAAGGCCGGCTTGGGCTGCTGGAACTTTCAGCGGTTCCTCCTGGACTGTGCGATGCTCAAGACTGACATGTTGACACTTGCAAGAGCAACTGCTGCAATACACTGATTTGGGCTGCAGTTTGCTTTTTATATACGCAACCTATTTGGAGAAGCTTCGAAGCAAGCTTGAGGGTGTTGAGCGTAATCCGTTGTTGGGTAGCTCAGCTAATGTAACCAAAGCAAGCAACCAGAATCCACGCAAGCCTGATCTGTTTGCGTATCTGAGTTTGGCAGTGGTGACATTACTGATGGAGCCGTGATCTCAGATATCCACCCCCAACAAGACGCGGCAACACACAAAGCTGAACCAAGCAAGCAAACACATTAAATCGCCTAGAACACCTCACCAACCACCAAACCCAATCAAACCAATAAGAGACAAACGCACAGGAAGAACCCGGCCAAAGCCCCTCCTTGAGAGCTGGCCGAAATGGGGCCTGTGTATTTTTTGGTAGAACTTCATGTACTGGTAATGGATGTCATTGTGCAATTGAAGGTCGGCACCTTCTCTTATGTTGTGTTTCCGGCGTTTCTGTGATCCTTGTTCTCTTCACTTCACGCAGTGTGGATGCTCCACACCAGGGTGTAAAGAGAGCGTAAGAAGATATGCTTGGAGGGACAGGTTGAGAAGCACAGGGTCGAATAGAGATGGAAAAGAACAATTCACAGGCTTACGTTAAGTGCCAATGTTTTGTTTGATTTGGTGCAACTAATTTCAAGTAGGGGCTATTATTGCAGCTGCAACGAGTACCTAGAATAGCAAACGTAGTGTGGAAGAGTCTAAAGCCTTGAAGTGTTTGGTGATGTCAGTTTGATATGGCCTTCAGAGAACGCTGCACTGCCTGTTTTAATGGCCTGGAAGGCGCTGCCAGCACTGTACGTCGACCACCAGCGTTCTTCCCATGCGGAGAGGCTGGCACTGAGCTGACCACTCCATGGGGTGCCTTCAATAAGAAGTCAATATCCTTTGATAGGAATCCATTGTATGCCTTTGACCCTTTGCTGATGGCGCCTCCTGCCAGGCAGATACTGCTGGCAATCATGAGGCCAGCATCAGGGAGTGCAAGGCTCATTGGATACAAGGCAGAGTTATCCTGATGATCCAAGATGGGTGCTACAATCGAGAGTTGCTTGGGTTTATTTCCGGCTCCTACAGAGATGGTCCCGGGGGCTACACAATGCCGTTTGTCTACGATGTGTGTTCAGTTTGCTGTTTTGACGGCCAGGGTGGCCCTCACCACGCAGAGTTGCAAAGGAGATGCACTCGAGCTTGCACAAAGTATCGCCCTGCTGTCTAGCAAATTTGAGGGAGCACCCCAGCGGTTAATCTTGAGATGTTGTAGATTCCTTTGAACTGACCTGGAAGCATGTGGAACCGTTTGTGGGGATTTTGTAGTTTTGACCGGTGAGCGATTTAGTGATCAGGCAGTACATGGGTACGTTTCGGCTCACAGCTTGATGGTCAGAGAGGGTCAGAGGGTTGAAAGTTCGCTCGTGCAAGGCAACTGTTTGGTCCTTGGTGGCTCAAAACTCCTTTTTTTGATGTTTTGTTTAAACCTGCCTTGCTCTCTTTTTTAGTTTGCCCTTACTAAATTAAGTAGGCGCCTACTTATATACAAGTAAGGGGCAAACCTGTACGCTCCTAGCTACTGAGCACTACTACATATGGACGCAGGATTGCTCACACGAATGACTTGGTTCCTAGTCCTAGTTCTCTTTGGAAAGCTTACTGTAGCTTTGCTTGCTTTGAGCACACATTGCTTTGTTTTCACCGAACTAATGATAGATGAATTGGATTTGTCAAAGACCAGAGTGGTCTTTGCTGCTCTAGACAAGGCCGATGGCTGTGCTGTGCCTTCCTGCCAGGGCCTCACTGCCTGTCACGACACTACACCATTTCTTGAGGAAGAGGTTGTGCCTTGTATCCTGAAGATCACAGCATCTTCGCTCCAAGAGCCACACACATGCTCTGTGAATCTCTGTGAGGTGTCTCAACTGTATGGGCCAACACACAGGTGCTTTGCTGCACGAACACTTTGAGAGCTTCTTGTGCTTGCAGGAGATTGTGCGGTACCCGCCTGATGAAGAAGTGCAGTGTCGGGTGTTCCACTCAGCTTCAAGGCTTTGGACTCTTTTGGAGTATCCTTTGCTCCGAGTAACGTCCTTGCTCCTAATAGCGATGCCAGGAGCCCCTAGTGCGTCCCTGCTCCTAGTAGCGATGCCCTTTGCTCCTGGTAGCGATGCCCTTTGCTCCTAGTAGCGAACATTGTTCCTAGTAGTAAGGCCAGGAGCTACGTTCGTAGCGTCCGATCGCTCCTTGTGAGTGCAGAGCAAGCTCCGAATTTGAGAAAGCGGACTTCCGAGGCAAACCTGCTAACAGCAGACGAGGCTGGAGGGGTCCTGTTTTTTGCTGTGTAGCTGGAGTAGCTTTGTGAGTTGCTAAAGAAAGTTGCTTCGTGGGTTGCAAACGTGTTTTTGCCCAGACAGTTTGAAACCAAGCAAACTTCATAGCTGATAGGAGCAAGAAGCTACTAGGGGCTCCTGGCCTTACTACTAGGAGCCAGAAGCTACTAGGGAAGATCTTTGCTCAACTGGGCTGGCTGACAACCTATCCAGGCCTCACGAGCATTGAGCACAGGCTGTGTCTCGGCTAAAGGACATCAGTCGAAGACTATGGCAGTGACTTCAATGTCTTTAGCCACATGAAAACCCTTTTGAAGCAGCTGCTTGATTAATGGTTGTTTGACATCTTTCTGACCAACTGACTGAGCTTCCCTAGGTCGTGCCGAGGCCTCTGTGTCCAGGCATGGCGGTCCAGTCGTGCCGTGGAGTGCCACGGCAAAGATCACTACGTGCAGTTAGTATGTAAAGCTCCGAGTAGCGTCCTTTCGCTCCTAGTAGCGATGCCAGGAGCCCCTAGTAGCTTCTTGTTCCTAGTATATAGTAAGGCCAGGAGCCCCTAGTAGCATCCTTGCTCCTAATTAAGTTTGTTTTGCCTTTGTTTTGTACCTTTATTGTTTGTTTCGTTTTTGTGTTCCTATCTTTGGCGGGGAGGCCCAAGGAGGCCATGAGGTAGGCTGTCGAGTGAATAACTGTCGCGCCGGGGTTCTTCAGGGAAAGCTCCACGCCCGAGGAACCTAATAGCTTCAGACCTACTTGCGATGGCCTCCAACCTACTTGCGACATCTTGCGATGGC